GTTTATGTACTGTCTGTGTTCTGTCGCGCGCTGGGCCTGTAAATAATTGTCTTTAAATAGGACGTGTGACTTGAGCCCAGCGGGTTTTCCACCACAAATAGTCTTTAAATGGCTTGTGAAGTATAACAAAGTCCTTTATTAATGAACATTCAAACAGAAACTTTTCTTGTCTTCAGAAAGTTAAACAAATGATTCCAGGCTTCCTAATCTTGTCCACGAAGGACAGGCAACTGTCTTCAATAACTAATTCTTGGCTTTAAAAGAAAATCCCCCTTTTTAACTTCTTCCAGGCTGACTGTAATCTAATTCTTACTGATGTGGGCTCCGCTACCGGGTCGAATTGCATCTCGAACGCAGAGTGGACCTACCAGTAAGGCTAATAGATTCTCCAGCTGGAGTTCTTTGGTCTTTAGGACTGTTTCCCTGGAAATCTTTGGAGACTCTTAAGACTGTTCTCCCCCAGAAAGTCTTAAGGGTTGTACAGGGGAAACTTGCACACATCCTGTACATTAGCTTTCCTTGCTGAGACTAACTAAAAAATGGCTCCCTTCCCTTCCCAATTGCCCTGAGCAAGGGGCGGAACCAAAACTTAACGATGATGGACAAGTGACTTGCCCTATGACTGCAACCAAAGGAAGCCACCTATCTGCAGAACCTCTGAAACCCTGGACTGCAAGCAAACACTCAATACAAAGCAAATAAAATTGGAGCTCCTGGTACAGCCGTACCAGCACAGTCTGTCTTTGTGAATTGCATAATGGCATTGAATGTTTGCCGTATATGTGTACTGTAATCTGCCCCGAGTCTTCTTGTTATTTATTTATTTATTTATTTATTTAAAGGGCTGTGTGACTGAGATTCCTCAGAGTCAAAGGGCTACAGGGAGAGGTATGTGTGTTTGTTTTTCTAAAAGGGACAGAGGAAGTCTGTAGAAATTTTGGGTTACTAGCTCAGCAAACACTGGGCACTAGTAAACAAACCAAACTCATTCACTGCCACTACTCACAAATTCTAAGAAAACAAGGCTCTGTGTTCCCAGATTACTCTCAAAATAGGATACACCAAACCTACCAGTATGCTTAATACCTAGGCTGTACTAGAGTTCCCAACACATTTAGCCTTCATTTTTCCAACTTTTCTCCTAAAAGCGACAGGACGGTAAGGAAGCTTTCCCAAGCACACCCGGTTACAGGGAGAAATTGGATTCACCTCCCTTTCTCTTCCCTCCTGGGAAACGTAGCCCTCAATTTCCTGCCCAAAAGAACTAATTAGTCCTGAGTGACAGCACAGTCTATGGCAGCGGTTCTCAACAAGTGGGTCGCAACCCCTTTGGGGGTCTAACAAGTCTCTCACAGGGGTCGCCTAAGACCTTCAGAAAACACAGGGCAGAGTGGCCCCTCCATGGCCACATCCCAGGAAGAAACAGAAGTAACAATGAAAATACGGTATATACACAAGTATAAGCCGGCCCTAATATAAGCTGAGGCATCTAATTTTACCACAAAAAAACTGGGAAAACATATTGATTCGAGTATAAGCCGAGGGTGGGAAATGCAACAACTACTGCTAAATTTCAAAATAAAAATAAAATTACATTAACTGAGGTATCAGTAGGTTAAATTGTCTGGTTGCTCCTGACACGATAAATAAAATAAATAAGTTGGTTAAATGTTTTTTGAATATTTACATAAAACTGTAATTTAGGATAAGACTGTTCTACTCTGATTAAACCATTATTCTAACCTTCTTCAATGTAAATGTGCTTACATATCCTTCCAATAATAATAAAGTAAAATAATACAAGTAATAAAAATAATAATAATAGAGTAAAATAATGGAAATGTAATAATAACAGTAATAATAGAGTAAAATAATAGATGTAATAATAACAAATAGAGTAAAATAATAAACGGAATAATAGAATAAAATGATATATGTAATAATAATAAATAGAGTAAAATATTAAAAGTAATAATAATAAAGTAAAATAATAAATATAATAAAAGAGTAAAAGAATAAATGTAATTTTTTTTTTGGTCATGTCAGGAGCGACTTGAGAAACTGCAAGTCGCTTCTGGTGTGAGAGAATTGGCTGTCTGCAAGGACGCTGCCCAGGGGACACCTGGATGATTTGATGTTTTTATCATCCTTGTGGGAGGCTTCTCTCATGTCCCCGTATGAGGAGCTGGAGCTGATAGAGGGAGCTCATCCGCCTCTCCCCGGATTCAAACCTGCGACCTGTCGGTCTTCAGTCCTGCCGGTACAGGGGTTTAACCCACTGCACCACTGGGGGCTCCTAATAAATGTAATAATAGAGTAAAAAAATAAATGTAATAAAAATAATAGAGAAAAATAATGGATATGTAATAATAATAGTAATAATAGAGTAAAAGAATAAATGTAATAATAACAAATAGGGTAAAATAATAAATGGAATAATAGAATAAATTAATATATGTAATACTAATAAATAGAGTAAATATTAAATGTAATAATAATAAAGTAAAATAATAAATATAATAATAGAGTAAAAGAATAAATGTAATAAAAATAATAGAGAAAAATAATGGAAATGTAATAATAATAGTAATAATAATAGAGTAAAAGAATAAATGTAATAATAACAAATAGGGTAAAATAATAAACGGAATATTAAAATAAAATAATATATGTAATAATAATAAATAGAGTAAAATATTAAATGTAATAATAATATTGTAAAATAATAAATATAATAATAGAGTAAAATAATAAATATAATAATAGAGTAAAAGAATAAATGTAATAAAATAATAGAGAAAAATAATGGAAATGTAATAATAATAGTAATAATAATAGAGTAAAAGAATAAATGTAATGATAACAAATAGGGTAAAATAATAAATGGAACAATAGAATAAAATAATATATGTAATAATAATAAATAAAGTAAAATAATAAATATAATAATAGAGTAAAATAATAAATGTAATATTAAGGTAAAATAATAAATGTAATAAAAATAATAATAGAGTAAAATAATCTAAAGGTAATAATAATAAATAGAGCAAAATAATAAATGCAATAATAATAATAATAATAATAATAATAATAATAGCAAAGCAAAATAATAAATAACCTTAACTTGAGTATAAGCCAAGGGGGGCTTTTTCAGCCTAAAAAAATGACTGTAAAAATCAGCTTATACTTGAGTATATATGGTACATCCTGCATATCAGACATTTACATTATGATTCATAACAGTATCAAAATTAGTTATGAAGTAGCAACAAAAATAATGTTATGGTTGGGGGTCACCACAATATGAGGAACTGTATTAAAGGGTTGCGGCATTAGGAAGCTTGAGAAACACTGGTCTAGGGAATGTGCCATTAGAGCTAGAAGTCCCAGGACTCACTGAAAAGAATGATTTCAGCTTGCCTGTTAAAGTAAAAAAAATTAAACAAACAGGAATGGAAAAAGAAAAAACAAAATAATGTGAAAGAAATACTTTGAGTCTTCAAAAAAAGCAACGAAGGCCGCCCCATGCTAAGAGACAGAGAGCCAATCTCGAAATCTGGCTTCACAGCGATCTTGATGCTGAGTTTTGTTTTTGGAGGTAAACTCCAGACAAAAGCTCTTTTGAACATGACTGACATGTCCTTGCAAGCAAACTAATGCATTACAACAAGGCAATCCTGAAGAAGGAGGGGGGAGGAGGGGAAAGAACAGGTCACTTATCCAATCAAACTTAAGCCTCTTTGTTTCCACGCTTTCTCGGCTCTCTCAGAAGAACCCAGATATTCCAATACCAGCCAGAGGATCCTCTAGTTTGAAAGGAAACGCACTTTGCCGAAAGGTTTGCACAGGGAGAGACAGAGAAGCAGCATTTCTTTGTCAGAGAGACATAGGGGGGGGGGGGACTATCATCATCATCATCATTTAATAACTTATTAATCGCCCTCCATCCGAGAATGCTCCAGGCGATTTACAGCTAAATTATAAAAGATAAAATACATACATACAAAAATTAGAAATCAACAGAGATCGAATGCTCTAGTAAAAAGCCAGGTCTTAAGTGCGAGAGTAAAAGGCCCTAAGTCACGCATGGCTCTCATGTAGGGCGGCAAGGAATTCCACGACTATGTGTGTCCTTCCCTTTCAAGAGAAGACTTCAACCTCAAACAGACAAATCAGGGCTTTGCATTTATATCTATTAGGGCTGTCCAAACACGGAAAAATTTGTTTCTAAACTCGATTCGTTTTTAGGGGTTTTTTGCATTTTGTTATTTAAAAGAATTCCGAAATTTTCCTTAAAAAAAGTTCGATATTTACGAAATTTCGGAAATTATAAAACAATTACGAAACAATTACGAATCGATTATGAATCGATTCGTTAATGGCGGCCGCGATCGCACAATACCCATAAAATACTTCTGAAGCTTCCCTCTCCCTCTGTTGTTGACTGTTGGTGTGATAATTATATTTTTTTTTCACTGAGAAAACAAACAGCAACCCTAAAACTTGCACCAGACATGTGGAAATAATAACAAATAATGAATCAATAACGAATCAATAACAAATCAATAACAAATCAATAACGAAACAATTACGAAATGAATTGGAAAAATTCGTTTCGTTTTTTAGTTGCTCCTGAATGGTTCAATATTGCTTAGTTATAAAAAAAATAACGAACTTTTAACGAATTACGAAATTACGAAACGAAACCGCCCAGCCCTAATATCTATCACTGCTGCGCAACATAACAATGGTCTGTTATTAAGATCAGAGGAAAGGGAGAAACAACTCCTCCAACGAGACGCGCAATCACACAAACAAGGATGGTTACGAGAGAGTCTCCAGTAGTTCCGAGTTTCTTACGACATCCAAACAGTCCGGCCTCGGCTTGAAAGTCCACCCAAACCCCCCAAAGCGCTCTTCCCCAATCTGGAAAGCGGCAATGAGACACACACACACACCGAATCCACCTTTTAAAAGCATTATTGATCCTTCGTTCTTACCTTAGGCTGAGCTCGTCGGGGAAATGCAACTTTAGGGTCAATCTGTGTTGGAGGAAAGAAAAATGGAAAGCAACGTGATTTGTGCATTTTCCTGTGCAAGGCAAAGAAAAAGGAACATAAATAAAGCCCCAAAGATTGCACTGCCTGATTAATCCCTCATTTCTCAGAAATCAAGAATCTTGCAAAAAAAAAATAGGGCAGGTAATGAATGGAGTGGTTGAAAAAGAGGGCAGACATGTATGGAGAATGACTAGGAAAGGGAGCCAGTGTGCTCTTTTGAGCTATCAAGAATGTACAGCTGACTAAATAGATATAGGTATGTATCTGTGTATATGTATTGAGAAGAACTCTCCTATGCTAATCTGACCAACATATCCTGGATGCCAGGTGCAATTTTCGCATTTTGCAAATGGCAGAGATTACAAAATATGAACATTTTGCAAAGCAAGGTTGGAATCCACAAACACTTTTTCCCCCATTTTTTTGGCCTGCGCACACAATGTCCAGGCTGTGTGTATTTATTTTCTTTAGGGCTGTTAATGCCTCCACGGTTTGAGAGAGGTATGTAACAAAAATATACAACACAGGGACTGCTAGTTTTAAATGAATTTCAGCTAAAATGCCAGCAAGAAAAGCATTTTTCCCCTTTTCCTGTGACTGCAGCACCAATTTAGCATTGAACAGTCGTCCGGAAGAACGTAGGTGTGAAAAGACTTTGAAACTTCTAGGCCAGAGTGAAGAGAGAGGGGGCCAGGGGACAGTCCCACCTCGTCTCCTGTGCTATGTTAATAATATAATATAATATATTGTATATACATATTGTATAAACATTCAATGCCATTATACACTGACAGGACAGACACAGTACACAGATAGAGGTATATAGGTTTTTCCCATCTTCGGCGTCTTGGAGGTTGTGCTCAATTCCGGCCACGAGTGGTGCTGTTGCACCTTCCTCCATGCCAAAGAGCCCTGTTCACAGACTACCTCCTTTTGATCGAATGGCCGGCAGTTTCTGAGTGACTAGGTGGGGGCAGGGGACAGTTCCACCTCGTCTCCTGTGCTATGTTAATAATATAATATAATATAATATAATATAATATAATATAATATAATATAATATAATATAATATATTGTATATACATATAATATTTATAATATTATAATGTAATGCAATATTATAGAATCATAGAATCAAAGAGTTGGAAGAGACCTCATGGGCCATCCAGTCCAACCATTCTGCCAAGAAACAGGAATATTGCATTCAAATCACCCCTGACAGATGGCCATCCAGCCTCTGTTTAAAAGCTTCCAAAGAAGGAGCCTCCACCACACTCTTGGGCAGAGAGTTCCACTGCTGAACGGCTCTCACAGTCAGGAAGTTCTTCTTCGTGTTCAGATGGAATCTCCTTTCATAGAATCATAGAATCAAAGAGTTGGAAGAGACCTCCAGTCCAACCCCATTCTGCCAAGAAGCAGGAATATTGCATTCAAATCACCCCTGACAGATGGTCATCCAGCCTCTGTTTAAAAGCTTCCAAAGAAGGAGCCTCCATTACACTCCGGGGCAGAGAGTTCCACTGCTGAACGGCTCTCACAGTCAGGAAGTTCTTCCCTCATGTTCAGATGGAATCTCCTTTCTTGTAGTTTGAAGCCATTGTTCCTTGTCCTAATCTCCATGGAAGCAGTAAACAAGCTTGCTCCCTCCTCCCTGTGACTTCTTCTCACATATTTATACATGGCTATCATATCTCCTCTCAGCCTTCTCTTCTTCAGGTAAACATGCCCAGCTCCTTAAGCTGCTCCTCATAGGGCTTGTTCTCCAGACCCTTGATCATTTTAGTCACCCTCCTCTGGACACATTCCAGCTTGTCAATATCTCTCTTGAATTGTGGTGCCCAGAATTGGACACAATATTCCAGGTGTGGTCTAACCAAAGCAGAATAGAGGGGTAGCATTTTGTAGGATTTTGTAGTAGGATTTTGCTGTGAAGGGCCAAGTTAACATTCACCCTTTTTTTCTGTGTCAGGAGCGACGTGAGAAACTGCAAGTTGCTTCTGGTGTGAGAGAATTGGCCGTCTGCAAGGACGTTGCCCAGGGGACACTTGGATGTTTTACCATCCTGTGGGAGACTTCTCTTATGTCTCTGTATGGGAAGCTGGAGCTGACAAGCAGGAGCTCACCCCACTCCACTTTCGGTCTGCAGTTCTGCCAGCACAGGAGTTTAACCTCTTGCACCACTGGGGGCTCCATTCGCCCCATGAAGGGCTAAGTTGACATTTCATTCTATTTAGAAACAAATTCATTGAGATTTTTATTCATTTTGACTCAAATTAATTATTTTATTAGAAGGGTGAGGTAGAAATGCTGTAAATAATAATAATAATAATAATAATAATAATAATAATAATAATAAAGCGGCAGAACAGATACGTGTCTCTCCGTGCCCTGTTTTGCCATCTTTGTTAAAGAGGTATAATAGGTATGTAGAGGCATTTTGATTACATTGGATGATCCTAAAATATTTCAGACAATCCAGGAAAAAATAAGATTTGAGACCATTTCTAGTTAAGAGATGTAGCTGTACAAGTTCTGTAATATAGTTTAAGGTTTTATTCAACAACAACTCTTTAATTATAATATTATATTTGTATTTTTCCTTTCCCCGAGCAGACTACAACATACACAGATAGGCAAACATTCAAGGTCTTTAATACAGTGGGATAACAATGGCATACAAATGCACAGAGCAAAGGTAAAGGCTTCCCCTTTCATCTCCGGCTTTCTGGAGGCGGTTCTCAACTCTGGCCACAGGGAGGGGCTCTTGTGCCATTTCCAAGCCAAGGAGCCTGTTGTTCATAGACCTCTCCTGTTCATGTTGCCGGCATGGCTGCATGAGCATATTTATTACCTTTCCGCCAAATTGGTACCTATCGATCTACCCACATTTGCATGTTTTCGAATTGCTAGGTTGGCAATAGCTAGGGCTAACAGTGGGAGCTCACCCCGACTTGCAGGTTCAAACTGCTAACCTTTAGATCAGCAGATTCAACAGTTCAATGATTTGTCGAAGGCTTTCATGGCCAGAATCACTGGGTTGTTATAGGTTTTCGGGCTATATGGCCATGTTCTAGAGGCATTCTAGGAGCCCCCAGTGGCGCAGTGGGTTAAACCCCTGTGCCAGCAGGACTGAAGACTGACAAGTCGCAGGTTTGAATCCGGGGAGAGGCGGATGAGCTCCCTCTATCAGCTCCGGCTCCTCACGCGGGGACATGAGAGAAGCCTCCCACAAGGATGATAAAAACATCAAATCATTCGGGCGTTCCCTGGGCAACGTCCTTGCAGACGGCCAATTCTCTCACACCAGAAGCGACTTGCAGTTTCTCAAGTTGCTCCTGACACGACAAAAAAAAGAGGCATTCTCTCCTGACGTTTTGCCTGCATCTATGGCAAGCATCCTCAGAGGTTGTGAGGCTCACTACCTCTGAGGATGCTTGCCATAGATGCAGGTGAAACGTCAGGAGAGAATGCCTCTAGAACGTGGCCATATAGCCCGAAAAAACCTACAACAACCCAGTTCAACGGTTTAACTCTTCCTGCCAACCTAGCAGTTCGAAAACATGCAAATGTGAGTAAATCAATAGGTACCTCCTGAACTACTGCACCGTGGCGTTGCATACTTTAAAAAAAATATAGCCTGAAAATAACAAAAATGATGTGTTTTGGGATTAAATTGATTTTAAAAAACACACATAGCCAAATCTGTTAGATGAGGTTATGTTGTTGTGTAGACAAATAGTACTAGATTTCTTGTTTATTTATTTATTTTCGACGTCTTGAGTTCCCAAAAGGGGACTCAGTTCGGCTAAAAAGATATATATATATATATATATATACATACAATGTATTATATTATTAGCATAGTACAGTATCAGTATTAATTATTACTATATTGTATTATACCATTATATTGTAATATCATTAGTAATATTACATGTAATATAAATATATAATTATAATATATTATTATATTATAATTAAGAGGAGGGCGACTAAAATGAGCAAGGGTCTGGAGAACAAGCCCTATGAGGAGCGGCTGAAGGAGCTGGGCATGTTTAGCCTGAAGAAGAGAAGGCTGAGAGGGGATATGATAGCCATGTATAAATATGTGAGAGGCAGCCACAGGGAGGAGGGAGCAAGCTTGTTTTCTGCTTCCCTGGAGACTAGGACGCAATGGAGCAATGGCTCCAAACTACAAGAGAGGAGATTCCATCTGAACATGTGGAAGAACTTCCTGACTGTGAGAGCCGTTCAGCAGTGGAACTCTCTGCCCCGGAGTGTGGTGGAGGCTCCTTCTTTGGAAGCTTTTAAACAGAGGCTGGATGGCCATCTGTCAGGGGTGATTTGAATGCAATATTCCTGCTTCTTGGCAGGGAGTTGGACTGGATGGCCCATGAGGTCTCTTCCAACTCTTTGATTCTATGATTCTATGATCCTACACATTTCATAGAATCATAGAGTTGGAAGGGACCTCGTGGGCCATCTAGTCCAACCCCCTTCCAAGAAGCAGGAAAATTGCATTAAAGTTATGTCTCAAGTAAATGGTTACAGGACCGCAGCCTCAAAAAGGATCCACCCGTACGACAATCACTTCAACCGCTAACACTCATTGCAAACTACTTGCAGAGTCTGAGAAATTGACTTTTTTAGTCCAGTTGTGGGACTTGGTATGGCTTCCAAGAACTTATATTTGCCTCACCCAGATACAGAACTTCTGTCTGAAATCCAGAGCTGGGCCTTAAATAAATGGAAAGCGTCAAAACCACAACCATTTTGAGCGTGTGACAAAAAATGTTTTCAAGCTGCACTCATTCAGACACATCCCGTCATTACTGCCTCCCGCTTTCAGCAAAAACTTTTTTAAAAGTTTCTATATCTGAGAAATGAGTGATTACATGCCGCATTATAAACAGTTCAGGAAGCATACAAAGAAAACTTACAAAAACCTTCTTCTAGAAAGCGAACCCTTTCATAGAGATTA